GAGTAAAATTTATCTGTTTGGACTAATATGTAATATTTTTCTCACAGGTACTTTAAGTAATATCTAATTTTTGAAAGGTAATTGAGTTTTGAAATATAAGTATTTGGTCGGTTTAGTCTAAATCCGGACAAAGCTTGATCGGTTTTATCATTAAACCGGACAAAGCTTAAGCGGTTTGTTGACCGGATTAGACATCCGGACAAAAGGCTATATGATGAACTCTTATCCKGACAAGGTTAGATTTACTTTTGCATGGATTGTCCGGATTTCTAATCCATTGAACATATTTGAACATGATTTTTTTTCTCTCAAGTCCTAAACCGTTTATTCTTGTGAGCGGTTTACATTTCTTTCTTTGAGCAGTGTTCATATAAACCAGACGTGCCTTGAGCGGTATTCATTCAAACCGTACATGTCTTATGCGGTTACTATTCGGTTTAACACTTAGTTTCTATTCATTCCATAAACCGGACACTACTTGAACGGTTTATTCTTATACCGGATATGTTTTGAGCGGTTTCGCATTTGAACGGTTTGACTCTTTGACTATAAATAATCGTTTCACTGTTCATTTTTACTTTTTTTTACATACTCTAATATTCGTTCATCGTCTCTGCTTGAAATCCGCTTGCACTCCATTCAACTTTGCTTCAAAGGACTTGATTCAACCTCATTCGTGTTCGTTTTCTGCTCATAATCCAGGTTTTGATTCGATTTCCATACTTTATTCCTTTATTCATTGATTTGATTCGTTCGTTATGCATATATACACTGTTCGTGCCCTAGCATTTTCATATCCTCATAATCGATTCATAATCTCGTATTAGCTCAGATTAGACTATGATTTTAGTGTATTTCGAGTCGTTTTAGTGTTTCGATTGAGTCTGTGATACGTATTTTGTTTTGTTTTGATTTTATTATGTGTATTTTGTGGTTTTAATCATTTTGTGTTTGATCGGAAATCTCACCGGACATGGTGATCGGATTTCAAATCCGTTCAACCTTAAACCGGTTGATGATTGTCCAGTTTAGTCTTGTGATTTTGTTTGTCGTCCGGACTTCTAATCCGGACAACGTTATTGAATTTTTTGTTAAGTGTTTCTTTGTCGTCCGGACTACTTATTCGGACACCTTGTCTTGTTTTTGTTTTGTAGTGTCTTGATCGGACTACTAATCCGGTCAATGTGTGTTTTGTTTTTAAAATTTCCTAAGTGTTGAAAATTTCTTTTGTTTATTTTTTATCTTTTTCATTTTTTTTTTTGTGTGATTTTTTTGTTTTTAAGTGTTTGTGTGTGTTTGATTTTTTTTATTCAATAATACAATGGGTACYAATAGTTTAGATTTTTACAGGTATAATGGCTCAAATTGGTCATCAGTCTGACGAGGAATCTCATATTCCCTCGGTCAGATCTGACAACCTACCTCGAAATTTACCTGCCCAACCTATTGAGTCTGAAACCCTATACTCTCAACTTCAATATCTCGAAATCAAACCCAACAACCATCATTTTTTATTTGATATGCCTACAGAATACCCTATAGTTCCAGAAATACTAAAAGGCCATCCAATTTCCTTTGCCTTATCTGCACATACAACTGTTCCCATGGTTTACCTACAACAATTTTGGGGAACAGTTACAATCGAAAAAGACGGAGAAGCTTTTTACTTACAAGGAGAGGTTGACGAATATGTCAGTCGACTGACATTGAAGCGTTTACGAAGAATTCTACGTCTTCCGGCTCCTGGCCTGACTGGTTTTGAAGACTTCGTGTCTGATGATCAACTTTGTGTTGATATCAAGCGACTGGGATATTCGGCACCGTTGAACAATCCTTCCCAGTTCAAACGAAGATTCTTACCGTCGGTGTGGCATCTTCTATTCTCGATTCTTAATCGATGCCTCACTTCGAAGACACAAGGCATTGACACGTGCAGCTCAACATTTCTTAAGTTCTTTCATGGTATAGTGTTTTCAAGACACTATGATTATGCGTTAATCATATATAATGAGCTAATGGAGCTTGTGAATGCCAAAAGATTTCCGTCGAAAGCAAGGAAATTTGTGCCATTTCAGCGTTTTCTGCAACTCATTATCCAAGCCATGATGAACGCAAATGAAGACATCCCGCCCAGAATTCATTCTGAACGAGGGCCAACGTTCGTCATGACCCGGATTAGGCAACATCAAGAAGTTGAAGATCTTGATTTCATCATGCCTATTCCACAAGAATTGCTCGCTCTAGCTGATCAGAATGCTYGGTGTGTGATAAACTATAGGAGAGTGATAGATCCTATAGTTCAGCCAGAACCGGCTGAACTTGCCCAAGGATCACCCCATGCCTCAGTTGAGAGAGCTTTAGAAGTAGATGAGCGTGTTCAAGTACAAGGGGTACCTGAACAGGGTTGTGTGCTGAGGGAAAATGTAATAGAGAGGGGTGAATCGGCGCGGGGAGCTT